GAATCAATCCGGAGCCATTCGAGGAAGGCTCTATCCTCCGGGTCGAAGATGGTGATGTTCTCACTATCTGTCGCCGTGGTTTTGAGGGGCCTTGCCGTATCGATGCCGCTGCTCTCTTCGAGCCTGGCGGGGAATGGGGACGGGTCGACCAGACTCCGGACCGGTCCCCGTCCTCTGGGGCGTGCTTGTTGTGTGATCATGAGCGTTGGCCTCTTCTCCAGTGTTACCATCGCCACAGGTCTCCGGTACAAGCCATTGCTATGGTTTTGGATGTGGATCCTTCCGACATCACCACGTGTGAGGCACCAGGTCTTTCTAATGTGGACCTGCTTGGTGAGTCCTGCCGCGCTGTCTATGCAGCTGTACGACTGCCGCCCCGGGATGGCAGCGACTCACTCATTGAAGGCCGGCTGGATGTGTTCACCTTTCTCGACTTTCGGCCCATTGGACTGAAGCTCCAATATCACTTCAGTCACTCTCGCACCTTGCACATACCCACCTTGCTTGCCCTCTTTGGTGTTCGGCTGCCAGTAAACACAGGGCTGCGCATTCTTGGAGGTGTGGTACACAGGGATGAGGTTTATGTGCCGGGTGTTGCTACGTTGGTCTTTCAGGCCATTCCGCTACAGTCGCGAACCCTTGCTGCTGCTTCTTCAGGCTTGTCTGCGGATTCTGGGAGTGCTGGCCCTAGTACTTCTGGGGATCCTGGCCCGTCTGTTGATACTACCCGGCCTCCTGTTGCTGATGGCTCTGCTCCAGGTCATGGCTATGTCAGGTCCAGTGACAGGAGTCGTTCTCCGCGTGCAGGGTTGGACGGATCCAGTCACTGCCTCAAGCAGCTCCTCGGCGGCGGTTCCTTTCGAAGGATTGGTGCGCCCATGACCTTGAAGGCCAACAGTGGTTCTGCTGCCCATGCGTTTGCCTTCGAGGACTCTCTTGTTTGTGGCTTGGTTGCTGCGAATATACGAGATTGTTTTTTCTCGTACACGTTTGTGCCTCAGGTGCCTCCTGATGCTGTGTACAATGCTGACTGGCAGGGCGTTCTTCAGGTCGCACTTGGCCTGGATGCAAGGGATGGGCCTGTTGGCTGTAAAATCGCCGACCCTCCTGATCTCACTGTGCAAACTGCTGGGGCAGTGCACATGACGCATGATGAGCATTTGAGACTGCTCTTCCTACCCTTTGGCCACGGTAATGCTGGAGATGCAGCCCCCCCCCGAACTCCTTCGGGATGATGCCTTTGGTGATCAGGATGAGGAGACGTCCCCTGCAACTATCCATGGAATATTTGTCTTGCTTACGCCAGACTATGGACATGACGTGGTTGTTATTGACCTTCCTGTGCCTGCCACTGTCGAGGAAGCCTTGTCCGAGATCGAAGGAGTCAGGGAATATGATCGCTTCAAGCGGTTTACTTGGGTTACTCCAATTCAACCGCAACTCGCACGAGAGTATGCCGTATTGGTGGCCATACCGGAGTGGTCCGAGCAGATTGTACCAGCCTTTGATCTCAGGGCCTTTGACGGCTCTGTGTATGCCGTGTGCACATCTGAGCGGGCTACCAGAGAGGAGCTTCTCGCCCTTGCCGGCTTTGCTGCTGCTCGGGATGTCGAGGTCTACGTGCATATTAGTCCTTGGCCCCTCCTGCCGGGGCAGGTTGTTGGCCTTTGGACTGGTGTTGCTGTGATTTTTCATCCTCCTGGAGGGCGTTCGGATCCGGGTCCCCCTCTTGAAGAGATGTTGCTTCTCGCTGACGGCTGGGATGCTACTGTTGACGTCCCTTGCCTACCTGGGCCCGCTTTTTATCTTCTTTCGGATGATGGTTCATCGCGGTTCCCGTTGGACGAAAGTCGCAGGGCGCAGCTTCGGGTTGACATTGCGGCCTCTCTCGGCTACGATTCTCGTCGTCTTACTTTGAGGGGAGTTCTTCCCAGGCCGACTGATAGTGCACTACGTGGCGGGACTTGCAGTGCTGTTGTAGTTGCCACTCAGATTGTGCCCCGGCCTATTCAGCGGCTACAGCCTCTGCGCGTCATTGTCTTTGATTTACGCCCCCTGCTGCGGGGTTTTCAGTGGGAGGTTACCCAGTCTGAGTGGTACTCCATACGCTCTTTGCAAGACCGCTTTGGCACGGATTGTCCAGAGAACTGCACGACTGTTATTTCAGGAGGTCGACGTGATCGGGTTCACGATGAAAATGTGATTTGGATTGAGGAGGCGCAGAGACTCACCATTGAGTTTATGCCTTGTCATCCTGCTTCTGGCTCTTCCGGGGATTCTTCCGACTCAGAGCCTCCTGCCTCCGACGATGACAGCCTCGGAGGCTCCAGTGATGGTGATGGGAGTCGCTCGGTTGCACGTAGTCGATCCCCCACAAGGCCGCCGCCTGTTCCTATGCGCCATTACAGTCCTGGTTCTCCTCCTGAGATCGATGCTGTTGCTTCGCCTTTTGGCTGCTGCATGGTATCCTGCAACGAGATTGGCGACATGTGTGCTACGTCGTTACAGCAAGATGGCCCTTCCACGGGTCCCGCCGTGCTCACCTCTGTCCCTTCTCTGAGTCGAACTGATGCTGTGGCGGTGTCAGGGCCTCTTCCCCGCTGTGCGGTTCAGGGATTTCCGGTTCTCCCTGGTCTGGGGAGCAGTGAGGGTGCCCTACCTAACAATACGGTGCAGCAGGGCACTGCAGGCGATTGTGGTGACAACCGTGGAGTCCCCTGTTCAGTCGCCCCACCTGTCCATCCCACTCTCAGTGGCTCCGATTTCCCTCAGGACGGCGAGTCTACTCCTGCTGCCAGCGATGATCTCAGAGTCACCCATGGCCTTGGCTCAGGACGGAGTGAGATTTCTTGCCTGCTTCTTACCCCAGACAATACCCCGGAGGTTGTGGTCTGGCATGGTGTTGGCCTCCCCACCGTTGATGCCCTCCTGTCGTTCCTTGCGGTGCACAGGACCCCGGCCAGACAGCGCCTGTTTGGGTTAGTCGTTCCGGTTGTCCCACAACCTGATAGTGGCTTTCTCACTTTCTTGGCACTACCTTCTTGGACGGATGGCGCTCCAGCGCCATGTGTCGTCTGCCTTGACACTCGCACCATTGACGGACGCCTCGACTGTGCAAAGGCTCCATGCACAGTTGCTTTGCCCGATGTTCGGAGGCTTTTGTACTGGCAGCCCCCGCGTGCTTCAGTGGTGCTCTGATCACATTTTGTGTTGGGGATGCACCGCCCGCTCGTCTGCCCCTGGCATCAGTCTTGGCCGAGCTTGGAGTTGACGCTTCTGCTTTCCCTTGCTTTCCTGGGTCGCGGGCCCTGCACGTGCTATTCCTTACTGACGGCATGCCTTTTGCCGGGGCGCCTCCCGATGCCGATGTCCATGAGTTTGTGGTTGTCGCCGTCTCTGCCATGGCAGCAATCCCTTTTTGCAGAGGCCGCTTGCGCCGCTTCAAGACGTTTGTTGGCACGGTCAGGATATTGCAGAGGTGCTGGTTCTTACTGAGCAGGTTCGGGACATCCCTGTTCCGCCGGGACGGCCCACTCAGCAGTGCTATCCGGTCTTTGTTGACTGTAGGCCTCTTCTCCAGGGCCTCCGTTGGGGCCTTTGCATTGAAGGTCGGTTTGACGTCTCTCACTGGCGTGCCTTCCTCTCTCGGTTTGCCCCACCTGGCTTCGGCGTCGAGATTCTTGGGGCCCCTCCTGTTCACACTGCTGAAGGAGTGATCATGAATGTCCGTGCAGGACAGTGCCTGGTCGCCGTTTTCGTTCGGCTAGAGCCTGATGATGCTGTCCTGTCTGCTTCGGATCCCTCGGACCCTGTTCAGGTTGCTGACGCTGATACCGCCACCCCTGTGTCGGCTGTTCCCTCCTTTGGTGAAGCCTCAAGTCTGGCTGCAGCTCACGTTCCTCTTGCTGCCTCTGACAGCTCGCCTTGGCGCGGAGTGCATCGACCCGTCATTGGCTCTCGAGATAGCGGTGGACGCAGAGGTTCCCCGACTCTGCTGTCCTGGCTTGCCCGTTGCACTGTGCTTTGCAGCTTGTTTCAGCCTTCGGGATCGGTGCAACTTGCTAGTCACCTCTCCTGCCTTGGTGCCTTGAGCTCTGATGCACAGTCTTTGTCTGAGGTTACTGCTGCCACTGTCGGTCCTGGAGACGATGTCTCTTGTGATGTCTCTTTTGGCTCCCTCCGTCCTCAGCTTGCTGCTGATCGGGGTATGCACAGGCCGGTTCCGACCCCTTGCCGGGCCCCTTCCCTTTCGATTCCTGTCCAGGATGATGTTGTACCGGTCGGCTCTGTGACTTCCTTTGTCACACTTCTGGAATCTTCGCCGGAGTATCAGAAAGGGACTGCTTTCTTTGAGGCTTGCACCCTACTTGAGGTCCTGGAAGAATATTTTGCCGGCAGAGCGCTGCCAATTGGTGATCAGGTTGTTGCTGTGGGTCAAGCGTGCGGTCATGGCGCTACACGTGCTCCCCCAGTGTCGGTTGTCGCCGCAGCCGTGCCCCGTCGCATTTGTCTGGAGGCCACCCTTGCTGTCACGCCATTTCAGCAGTCCTGCTTGCAGCTCCGTGATCTCCTCAGCTGGACCGACTCTTCTTCTGCGGATTGGCTCGATAATGACCTGAGGGGCATTCTTCGTGATAGTCGGGTTCCTCTGAGTAAGAGGACCCTCTTTGTCAATATACGACTCTGGCATAGTCAGGGTTGCCCAGCGGTTCGGCAACTTCATCTCTACACCGATGGGTCCGCTGGAGGCGCTGCCACTGACCTTGCCCCCTGTTCCTGGGCATTTGGGGTTTGGGCGGACACTGCTATTGGCTGCCTGTTGATTGGTTTTGCACACGACACTGCTGCCTCAAGTGACTCGCCCTATTTCTTGGGGGAAGGGGCGGACTCTGCACTCGTTGGCGAACAACTCGCCCTCGCTTGGGTGCTTGCGTGGGTTTGTGAATATGCTCCCTCGTATGGCGTGCCAGTATGCCTGCATTTTGACTCTCTTTCTGCAGGTCTCGGTGCCTTTGGACAGTGGAGATCTCCCAAAGACGTTGAGAATGTTGAGACTGGCGACGGTGATATGCCTCGTCGTTGCTCGCTCTCCGCGACTGTCATCAGCTTGCGCCACATTGCGAGTGACAGAGTCTCCCTGCAGCATGCTTATGTGCCCGGTCATTCGGGACACATTGGAAATGAGCTCTCCGATGAGCTCGCTAAACAGGCCAGGCGCAGGCCGTGCAACTATTGGGATCGGCTCCTTCCGACTTGGCCCTCCCACCTTGCGAGGCATCCACTGCGGGATTGGGCCTGGCTTGCTTTGGGACCAGCCAAGGATTTGCCCACCCTCTTTTCGCTTGAGGGTGAGGCTTTCCGTCTTCAGCGCTTGGACTCTCGCCCTACCCGTGCCCCGGATGTTGGTGAACCACAGATTGCACAGCCTCAGCTTGCACAGATAGCCTTCACAGCCATCACCTACAACGCTTTGACGCTTCGGGATGTCGTCAAGCCGAAAGTCTCTCAGGCTGAGATCGGGTTCCGCATTACTGGTCGGAAAGAGGTTATGAAGCAGCAGTTTGCCCAGCTTCAGCCCCTCTTTGTTGGCTTTCAAGAGACAAGGTTGCCTGAGAGCTGCGTTCAACCGGACTTGGACTACCTTGTTCTCCAGTCCTCTGCTAGTCAGATTGGCTCGCTGGGCGTTGCTCTTTGGGTGTCCAAGAAAGTTCCCTATGCTTGCGTTGGGGAGCGCAAGCATTTCATTCAGCCTGGACACTGCAATGTCTTTGGGCGCTCCGAACGGCATCTCGCTGTAGATGTCGATGCCCCTTATTTGCGGCTCGTGGTCATCGTCGGACACGCGCCCACTCTCGCCACTGCCACTGTTGCCGAAGTGCAGTCCTTTTGGCGGCAGCGTGCTGTTGAGGTGCAAAAGAGGCCTTCCGGCTCTGACTTCCTTTTGCTTCTGGATTCTAATTCCAGGGTCGGAAGTGTGCCGACGGACTCTGTTGGTGAACACCAAGCTGACCATGAAAACAAAGCCGGGGAACTTTTCCGGGAGTTTCTTCGACAAATAGGGGGCTACCTGCCGTCTACTTTCGATCTCCACCATGAAGGCGAGGGACACACCTGGGCCTCTCCTGCTGGCACTTTGCATCGCCTTGACTTCGTTGTGGTCCCTTTAGCCTGGTCGGGCTTCCGGATGCGCTCCCGAGTTCTTCATACCTTTGAGGCTCTTCAAAAGCGACATGACCACTGGCCAGCTGCACTGCACTGTGCCTTCTGTCGTACTCTGGTTCCGTCTGCCACTAGTCCGTGTCTTGGTCGTAAGCACCGTTCTGTACGACCGGACAAGCCCTCCACTCCATGCCAGCTTGCTCAGGATGTGTTGTCGCAAGTTCCCTGTTGGGACTGGGCTGTGGATGTTGATGATCATTACGACGCGCTTGCTGAGGCCTGGCGTGGTGCTGGTGCCTGCTTGGTGGAGGAGCGTTCTGCCCAGCCCAAGCAGTCGTACCGTCGGCGGATACTCTTCGTCTTGTCAAGATCCGACAGGGCCTCCGACGTTACCTCCGGGCTGAGCGACGGGAACGGTTCCGTCGCCGTCTCCTTGTGTGCTTTGCTGCGTGGTGCCTTTTGCTCCGTGAGGACTCCTTCTCGGCACGGCAACTGGATACGGTTCATCGGTGGTTTTTGGAGCTCGACTTCAGTGAGGCTGAAGCTCTCTTCCGATTGATGCACCTGAGCTTTTACCTGCGCCGGTTTGTCTCTGGGGACCGCTCCCGCTACCTCTCGGGTTTGGTTGAAGGCGTTCAGGCTCAGGATGCCAGGGATGGTGGAGCTCTCTTCAAGGCTGTCCGCAAGGCTTTTCCGATCGCTCGCTCTGGTCGTCGCAGCGTCTATCAGCCCCTGCCTGCGGTGCAGGATGAGTCGGGGTCTCTGGTTGTTAGCGCTGCTGATAAGCTCGAGGTTTGGCGAGGCCACTTTGCTCGCCAGGAGGCCGGTGTCAAGGTATCAGGGGATCAGTATCTCGAGGCTTGGTCCTCCTATCGCAAGCCTTCTGAAGTGCCAGTCTTTGATCTTCAGGTTGTTCCTACGCGTGGAGAAGTTGAATCCTTGATGCTTGGCCTCAACCGTGGCCGAGCCGCAGGGCCGGACAGCATCACCTCCGAGCTGTTGCAGGTGCATGTACCCACGACCTCGCGTCAGCTTCTCCCGATCATGTTGAAAGCGAGCTTGGGGCTCAGGGAGCCTCTTTGTTTCCGGGGTGGGGAGCTGTACTGCCTGGCGAAGCGTGCTGGAGCAATGTTCTGCTGCAAAGACTTTCGCTCTATCCTCGTATCCAGTGTGCCAGGCAAACTGTTCCACCGCACTTTGCGTAGACAGCTTGCTGAAGTGCTCGCAGAGACTCGCCCGCCGTTGCAATGTGGTACTCTCCCAGGTGAGGGAATTGAAACCATCTCCCTTGCTGGTCGCACTTATCAGCTTCTTCAGGATGCCCGCCACCGACCGTGGGCCCTGATCTTTTACGATTTGCAGTCAGCCTACTACCAGGTTATCAGGGAAGCTGTTGTTCCTGGTTGTCAAGACGACACTGCAATCCTTCGGCTTCTCCACTCGTTGGATTTGCCGCCCGGCGCTTTGCGCGAATTGCAGCAGCACCTTGGCTGCATGGCGTTGCTTCCGCAGCTGCATGCTTCTCCTCACTTGGTGGCATCCATCAATGACCTCTTCAGGGGAACCTGGTTCAAGATGAGCGCTGGCGCGGTCTTGACGCTTACGCGTCGAGGCACGCGCCCTGGAGATCCCGCCGCGGATGCTATCTTTGCACTGACCCTCGCCGCTCTGCTCAAACATGTCGACAAGGTCCTTGATGCCAAGGGCCTTCGTCCCAGCTTTCCACAGGTTGCCCACCGCCACCCTTGGGCTTCGGTTGAGGAGCACACCTCGCTTGGTTGTCCGGCGTGGGCCGATGACTTCCTTCAGCCTCAAGATGGTGAGAGCCCTGCCGATCTTGTTGTAAGGGTCCGGGGGGGTGTTGAGCTTCTCACTGCTCGAGCGACTGCCATGGGGATGACGGTCAGTTTTGCTAGGGAGAAGACCGCTGCCATCGTTTCTGCGCGGCTATCTGTTGGTCTGTCTGAAGGGGTTGACTTCGATGAGGACGGACTGCCCTATATCGCTGTTCGCAATGAGCTGCTGGGCGTGGTGCATCGTCTACAGCTTGTGCCTTCTTACAAGCATCTAGGCGGCATTGTCGTTGCGACGTCCTCTCCGGTTCCAGACCTGCACCACCGCCATGCTCGGGCCAGCATGGTAGTGCGTCCCCTTCAGACGCGCCTGTTTGGGAATCAACGCATCCCGCTTGCTACACGTCGTTTGCTTTTGCGCTCCCTTGCGCTCTCGCGTTACGTTCATTCAGGTGCGTCCTTGATCCTCACTGCGGCTTATCACAGGCGCATTTGGTGCCAGCAATACGTTGCTTTGCAAAGGTCACCCTGTCGCCGCACAGCTGCTGATCGCGCGGTGCATTCCTACGAGGTGCTCCACGCGGCGCAGGCTTTTTCGCCGCCTCTGGCGCTTGCATATGCTCGCGCATCATTCCTTAGGCGGTTGACGCAGCAGTGTCCTTGTATGTTGGCGCAACTCCTGTATGACCATTGGAGGGTCTCGCCAGCCAGTTCTTGGTTGGGGCAGCTTGCCGTCGATGTTGCTCAGGTTGGACTCTTCGTACCAGGCGTTCTCCAAGTCCTACCGTCGCACGATCCGGTTCCGTCGCTCTTGGACTCGTTTCTGGAGGATCCGAGTTGGTGGCAGCGTCAGGTTCGGAAGGCAGGCAAGGTTTTTCTTCAGGACGTGGCCCAGTGGCGCCTGCACCCCCAGGCCCCGCCTGCTGTGGACGAGGCTCCGGTGCGGCCTTTTAGCTGTCACGTCTGTGCGGCGTCGTTCGCGCTTAGGAAGCACTTGGGAGTACACCTTGCTCGATCCCATAACATCGTTGCCCCTGCCCGCCACTTCTCTCCCTTTGCCTACTGCTTGGCGTGCCACAAGTACTACGGACTACCTGTTCGTGTGCAGCAACACTTGAAGAGCTCTGCCAAATGTCTGCGACGGCTCGCTTCAGTGATTCCTCCGCTTTCACTCGCCGAGATTGCTGAGGTTGAGGCTGAGGGCAAATTTCTTCTTCGTCGTCAGAAGGCAGGTCATTGGAAAGACCTTCAGGTGCACAGGCCTGGCACTGTTGCGCTTGGCCCCTTGATTCCCTTGCGGCAAGAGCGGGTGCCGGCGCTCGACGCTGCAGAAGATGGTGTCCTGCTTTCCGACCTCGCCCCTAAGTTTGCTCCTGACCCGGCTGTCGTGTCCTGGATCGATCAGTACTTAAGTCTACGGAGCACAGAGGGACCAAGGGCAGGCGCCGTCTCTTTCTGGGATCGACGACCATGTTTCTCATTGCTTTTTCCTGTAGTGTCGACCAAATACCCCACAACCCCCCTTCGAACGCTTTTATTGTCAGACCCCTGCTGCTAACCCTAAACCCTAAACCCCTTCAAAGGAGCCCCTCTGCCCCCTAAACCCTAAACCCGAAACCCTAAACCCTAAACCCTAAAACCCTAAACCTATAATTAGCTACTTGCTGCCATGACAAGCCGACTCCGGCCTGGTTCGCAGCCTCTGGCGCTGAGCTTCTCCTCCTCGGCCCTTCTCTTCGTGTATCAGGCCTCCTGAGTCCTACCTTTGGTTAGTAGGGAATGGAAGAATGGTAGTAATGGTACTTATAATAGTTCCCATTCCTCCATTCCATACTAACCAAAGGGAAGGAGTGCTGGGGGCCGGGGGGCGTTTCCCAGGGTCCAGGGCCGAAGAAGGGGCGGTTTTCTTCTGTGCCCTCTGAGTTTGGCGGACCGGGTTTGGGTGCACAGGCTTAGGAAGGCTAGGTTTGAAAGGGGGCTCATGCTGGATGCAAGCCCGTAACCTGCAACATGTGGCGCATTACCTCTGAGCATCGCTCGGGACCCACCCCTGCTTTTTTGTGTGACTCTTTCCATCGACACTCTTTGCCCTAAACCCTAAACCCTAAACTCTAAACCCTCTAAACCCTCTAAACCCTCTAAACCCTAAACCCTACTTGAGTTTTTTCCAGGCCGGCGTGGCCGAGGCACTTCTTGCCTGCCAGCGCTTTAAAGGCGATGTCGCGGCCGTGCACGGTGCGGGATCCCGGGCAGTTAGGTGTCTCTGGAGACGAGTGACTACTGGGTTCTTGTTGAGGGATTATGTTCTAAGTTACCATAATAGGGATCTATAGTAACTAATATGGTTTCATTATTGTGGTAACTTGAATTAAGTGACTACCCATAGGCTCCAAAGCAGTTCCTTTCTGTGGGTTTTTGTTGTTCAGGATCCTATAAGGTAACCCCAAAACGAACTACTTTGGAGCCTATGGGTAGTACAACAAGCCCTACATCAAGCGGTTGTCTTTGCACCAAGGCCGTTTCTAGACATGCACGCAAACTAAATCAACGTCTACAAACTGATGGGCAGACAGGTACATATGGTACGATAAGATACTGTACGGAAGGCCTGTCTACAAATGCATACATACCTAGGACGTACACATCATGAGCAGCAATAAGCATTATGTACATACTATGCAGGTGCAACTTTGCATGCCCGTTTGGGGGTGGTGGTTCCTGCAAAAAAGGCGGGCAAAAGACCACAGCAGAGAGAGCACAGCTTGCGTTGGTGAGAGGGCAGTGGATGCGATCGTGACAACCAACCCTAAACCCTAAACCCTAAACCCTAAACCCTATAAACCCTAAAACCCTAAAACCCTAAAACCCTGTGGACCCTTGCATAGCGTGGCATGGCCAGCTCCGGCCAGGGCGAAAAAACGGAACTTCGCCCTTTTGCCCGAGTCGTATATTCCCCATAGCCCGGAAGCTCTCCGAGCCGGAAAAGCCCCCCAAGGGGCTGTTCAAGGCCCGGAATGCTCCCAGGCTCCAGCGGAGGCGCGTTGGTTGCGGCGCTGTTTCTCTGCGGCCGCGAAGCCTTGGCCAAGACGAAGGAGCTGGGGTGGGTTCTTTCTCCCTCTTTTTTTGCGAGGGCTCAGCGGCTAACATCCGGCAGGCTAGTAGGAATCCGGAATTCTCCTGTTGTCAATGCCGGTTCTGCTCACGGCTGAAGCGATGCACATGGCGGCTGTTTCAGATTCGGTTGCCGCGTATGACCCATGGGACCGGACTCGAGCAGCAGCGCTTAGGCACACGTCGGATGACATGCCACATGAGGTCACACATGCCCACACCCATCCACACACACACACGCACATCTCTATATATATATATACACATACACATTCACATACACACACACACATACACATATGCACATGCATACATACGCACATACATGCATACATGCATACGTATCTTTACACACACAAATATATAGAGAGAGAGAGAGATGTGTGTGTGTGTGTATGTGTATGTGACTGAGAATAGAGAGAGAGAGAGAGAGAGAGAGAGAGAGAGATGGAGAGAGATAGAGAGGGAGATACATGCAAAAACAGAGAGGGAGGGAGACATGGATATAGGTAAAGGTTCAGGTACAGATCTAGATATAGACCATCGATGCGGATAGATAGAACTGTAAGTCTGTGGTCAGAGGGCTTTGGGGCGAGATGTCGTCCATCAAGGGGATGCGCAAGCTTTGAAACATGAGCTTTGCCCAACCCGTCGTAGGGCAACATCATGGTGCTTAGGCTGAGGGCTTAGGGGCCTTTGGGCTTAGGGCATAGGGTTTAAAGGATCCGCATCAGCAGAACGCAAAGATTCAACGGCTTTGGGCCTCCACCTCCCAAACAAAACGCTGAAGGCCTGCCAAAAACAAGAAGCCTAAACCCTAAACCCTAAAAACCTTAATTCAAAAACAAATCGATTATGGTACAGTTGTGGGAGGCAGGGTCTGGAGGCTCGAAACGGTCAAATCGTGCCAGGGCCACTGGCTCGATATCTTCTTCGAAGCCGACGAGCACCTGCACGCATTGGACCACGAGGCCTGCGGCAGATGCCCTAAACCCCAAACCCTAAACCCTAAACCCTAAACCCCAAACCCCAAACCCCTGAAACCCTGAAACCCCTAAACCCTAAACCTAAGACCCCTAAACCCTAAAACCCTAAACCCCAAACCCTAAACCCTAAACCCTAAAACCCCAAAGCCTAGAGGCCCCAAGGCTCTCAACCCTAAAGCCTTATTCCCCGAGGCCCTAAACCCGAAAGGCAGCACCCACTCATGGCCCTGGGCTTTCGGATCGAGCACTGCGTGGCTTGAGGAATTGAAAAATGCTGGCCTCAATCTTCACAAACTCAAGCGGTCTAGGGTTTAGGGTTTAGGGCTGTTGGGGATTCAAGCTTTAGGGTTTATAGGGGTGTGGGATAGGAAGCAAAAAGTACACTGTACCGATAGTAGGTTTGCAATCAGAATACAATGATGATTCAGGCTCAGTCCCAACCCGTCATAAGGAAACCTCGGTGTTCTTTTCGCTAGTCGTCTGGGCCCCTGTTAGTTCGTTTTAAGGAATTTGAACTAAGTTACCCTAAGTGGGTTCCATAGCAAAGAATTTGGATTCCTCATCATGGTATTTCAGACTAGATTCCTTAACAAGAACCCGGTATTAAACAAGGAAATCAAACCTCCACACTCTCCCCTTGCTCGCTGAAGTCGTCCAGAAATGTCCATAGTCCAGCATAGTTACTTGCTAATGACTACCTGTAATTCTTGGGCAAAATACGGTCCTAACTCATAAACCTGAGTAACCCGAAACGGAACTACCTGTGCAGATTGGCGGGTGTTGGTCAGGCCCATGCCATCCGTACTCCCTGCACAGGTTACCAGCCCAAAACAAACCTTCGTCCGGACCGCCAGCCTCTGACGAGGTCCGTGTCCAGAGCCTGGCATTTGGCACCCACACAAGACATCAAGCCGCCCTACAACCGAAACCGCAAACAACCCAAGCCCTCCTTAAGGAAAATGCAGGATTTACACCATCAACAGTAGTGTGTTAGAATCCCTCTTGAAAGCCTCGAAAAGTCCTACAACAAAAAAATAACAGAACCGTAGCAGATCCCCTGCATGGCCCCCTGAACCCTAAACTCCAAACCCCTATACCCGGAACCCCGAGCCCTAAACCCTAGATCCTAAACCCTATACC